GTGCGAAATTCAAAACAAACCCTCTAGTCAATTAGTTAAAAATTGGCCTTTGTGTAGGTTTGGACGAAATTCTACAGCAAACGAACGAATTTAACTTTCTGAAATGCTAGTAGGAGGCCAAAGAATTTTGTTTCTTAGTAGATATTATGAGATATCAATCATTTTGCGTTATTATATTTATTATGTAAAACTTCTACATAATATTTAAACATATATCTATAAATGTTCAAATTAACGTCAGTTTTACTATGATTGACATTTTTCTCACTTCTTTGAACTTTAATGATCAAAATATTTGACCTCTGATTGTGGTTTTCTATTTATAATTAGTCATCAGAATGTTAAATAAATGAAACACCTCATACATGATGATATAAATGTTTGTTTTATACATGATGATATAAATGTTTGTTTTATCTATGGTGATATAAATGTTTGTTTTATACATCATGATATATATGTTTGTTTTATATATGGTGATATAAATGTTTGTTTTATATATGGTGATATAAATGTTTGTTTTATACATGACAATATATATGTTTGTTTTATACATGGTGATATAAACGTTTGTTTTATACATGATGATATAAATGTTTGTTTTATCGATGCTGATATATATGTTTGTTTTATACATGGTGATATAAATGTTTGTTTTATCGATGCTGATATATATGTTTGTTTTATACATGATGATATATATATATGTTTGTTTTATACATAACGATATATATGTTTGTTGTATACATTATGATATATATGTTTGTTTTATACACGACGATATAAATGTTTGTTTTATACATAGTGATATCTATTCTGTTTTATACATGACGATATAAATGTTTGTTTTATACATGGTGATATATATTTTGTTTTATACATGATGATACATATGTTTGTTTTATACATGATGATATATATATGTTTGTTTTATACATGATGATAAATATGTTTGTTTTATACATGATGATATATATATGTTTGTTTTATACATGATGATAAATATGTT